CCTGCTGAAAAGGTCAAAAATCACCGTTTTGTGCTGCTGTCAGTTGTCTGTAAAAATACTTGTGCTTGTGGGATGTGACATCATTACGCTGAGAGTTCCACATAAGCAGATAATGCATCTGTAATATGTCTGAGAATTGGGATTGTAGCCAAACAAGAGGATTTAAGTGACAGGCTCAAAACAATGGGAGAGCTGTGTGGTATAGACAGCCCTTAGGAAGGCTAAGCCTGGGGGAGAATCTTCATCTTGCTTTGAAACCTGCCTTTGTGTATGAAACTGGAGAAATGCTTTGAGAATTGTGTGAGGTTATCCTGCAGATGTCTGTTAATAGCATTGGCACAAAGTTTTAATCCACCACTGCAACTTTAAGGCCAAACAGCTTATTTCTCACATTGCTGCTTGGCATTTGTTCTTAATTGAAGCACTGCTTCAGAGGATGATAATATGTGCAATGCTCAAGCTGTAACAGCAAATAAAGAGTTTCCAAATGCCAGCACCACCATAATCTTCATTTCATTGCACCTTACATTTAGTTTAAGTATTATTCACAAAAAAATGCCACAGGTAAGAAAGTAATCTAGATGGATATATGCAGCTTAAATTAAAGCTCTCATTTAAGGCATGGCTGTCCTAATTTTCCTGCAGGGTGTCTGAATTCAGTTGCCACATCTCTGGGTGCTGCCAGGTCTTTGATACGCTGGAGGGCTACGAGCACCACTACAATGCACTGCATAGCAACGTCTGCTCCTTCTGTAAGCGCTCCTTTCCGTCGGGACACCTCTTGGATATTCACATCTTGGAGTGGCATGACTCGCTCTTCCAAATCATGGCCGAGAAGCAAAACATGGTGAGCCACCGTGACTGACCCTGCAGTGAGGGCACTCCTGTCTCCAGCTGACACCACTTGCCTTTTACAATGAATGTCTTTTTGGGTTTTTTTCCCTGCCTTTCAGTACAAGTGTCTGGTCGAAGGCTGTGTGGAGAAGTTCAAGAGCAGCAAGGACAGAAAGGAGCACTTGGTCACTGTTCACCTTTATCCTGCTGACTTTCGGTTTGATAGACCAAAGAAAGTGAAAAGGTAACTGCAGAACTGCACTAGCACAACTGGTTTTCCCCTGTGGAGGTGACGTTGTGCTTCTCTGCTGTCGCACTCCCTTCCAGAGAAAGCAAGTTTATATCCTAAGAGGCTCAGAAATTACATTTTCTTGTGCTTCTAAGAACAGATAAACTTGTGAGTCTTTCTGTGGCAATGTTTAACTTCATGTTGAAGCGAGTCTTTATTTCTCTCCATGTGTGGCTCTGGACTCTGCCATCTCAGTGTAAACACAAAGCCCAGCATCCCTGCGTTGCTTCATGCATGTTTCCTGCTTTGCTCTCCAACTCTTCACAATATTCCTGTTCCCCAAAAGCAGAGGAAGGTTTGTAAGTTTGGTGAACAGCTTTCTCAGCTGACTGTTCATTTCAAGCACTGCTCTCACCACAGGATTTAATACAAGGACTGCGGGTGTTTAAAACCTTCATCAGAGACCCAGGTGATGGGATGGAGAGAAAATTTCTTGCCTGGCAGGGTGGCATGGCTCTGGGCTGGGTGCCCAAAGGGGCAGGGGACTGTCTGTGGAGTCTTCCAAGGCTTGGGTAGCCTGGTGTGACCCCTCAAGTGCAGCCCTCTGAGCCCATTGCACCAGTTACACTTTATGGACTGAAGAAAAGAACTTGAGGACAAAGCTGTGTGCTGTAAAGCAGCAACCCTGAGTATTTAAGTAGTAACTCCTACAAGCCCATCACGCAGCTCTGCAGTAGCCTTTTGGCTGCTTCTGGTGGTTTGCACAGCCAAATCTTTGTTCCTCCGTGCAGGAATTCACCCCAGTTGGACTTGACCTGTTTCATCATGAAATACCTTTCATTTCCTTTGCTCTGGGCTTATGTGGCAGCTACTGAGAAAGGCTTTAAAATTTTGTCTCTGCAGTGGCCCCAAGCACATGAGCTCTCCCATGAAGGAGGTTGCCAGTATGCCAATGGATGTGGGTGTGGAGAGATCGGAGCAATTTCAAGTAGACCCTATGGAAATAGGGTCCAGTGAGAACGTGGAGATCCCTCAGCCTGCAGCCAGCCCCAGCACCTCGGTGCCAGAGAAACGGCTCTACAAATCCAGGTCTGTGCTGTTGGTCTCCACAGGCAAAAATTTCTGGGGCTGGGAATTGTGTTTTGCAGTGCCTAGTGCAGGACGCTCGGGGTGTTTCTGTGTAGAAGATAAGAGGTGGGGTTTCCATGTATGTTTTAAAAGAGGAAAGTGTCAGTGTGCATATGTTGTGAAAGCCATGTCAACAAGTTTCTGTTAATCTCCCCACCTGTGATCTCTTCCTGGAATACTATAGAATGGTGTAGGTCTGAAGACAGGAACTCTGTCCCTAAAATACTCAAAGAGGTTCTGTTCTGGCTTTCTAACACTTTCCAATCCTAGCTGAGTCAGGGCTGAGCTGGTGCCTTTCACGGTAGCTGCCGGTGCTCCCATGGAATCACGGGCCAAGGCACAAATAAAGCAGGTGAACATCGTGCTCTGAATCTTAGGTTTTGCAAGGCCAGAGCAGCATTGCTGGTTTTGCTGTTTGGTTTTTTTAAAATAAAATCCTTAGAAGAAGTTGAGACTGAATTGCCTAATGCTGCTTGACTTTTGAAGTCCCCCTCATCGTGTGCTGTAAAACCTGTCAGAGATACAAGGTAGCCATCAAAAGGTCACCACCCCCCTCCCAGCACCCGGATAGGTGTAATTTTATTCATAATTTTAATCACCTCTCAGCATAATGGCTAAACAGGGTTTTGCCTGAACTATTCCAGTTAGCAAAGAGATTCTTGTGGTTTGAGTTTGCCGCATCTGACATAGGCTGGCAGTCTGGAGGCAGCTCGATGAGCCCACGGCTGTGCTGGAGCACGGAGCAGGAAACTCACTCCTGTCATCAGCTCCCTCTTGCTGTCCCTTGTAAAGCAGAAAGAAACTGACCCTTGAATTCACTGTGATGCTGCAGGTCAAAAGGAGAATTTGCTGCTTTTACTGCTGCTTCTGCTCTCCTGGTTCCTCAGCAAACCACTGCAACTGTCCCATAGCGTAATACATTTTGTAATACCTTGCACCTGGTTGTAGAAAGCATAAGTGATATGTGCAGAATAAATGGGAAAGCAGACTGGTATTTCACCCATTTTTTGAATTACACTTTGGTGATTTAGATGACCTGCTTCTCCAGCACCTTGCTCTTCCACCTTTGGGAGCTTGAAATGGCATAAAGCGTCCTGGTGATCCTGTGAGAGGCGAGCTGTTAACGTGTACTGAAGGGTGTCTCCCTTTCCAGGATCCCGTCCACTATTTGCTTTGGACAAGGGGCCACCCGAGGATTTAAAGGACCAAGGAAGAAAGTCTGAAGGTCAGTGCACCAGATCTGCAAAGGTGAGAAGGTGCTGGCTGCTGCTACTCACAAACAGCACTGTGGCCGAGCAGGGATATTTGTAGTTGTGTGTGAGCATCCTGCTCTGTATTGGGAAGGCAGAAAGGGAAAAAACGGGGATTGTGTGGCAGCAGTTTGGGATCCATTGACACTGGGAGGTGCTGCGCTACAGTCCCTTTGGGTCTGTGTACCATCACCTTTTGGCAGTGTTTCCGAGCTAACCCATGCCTATATTTATTTATCCTTCCTGAGACACAATGGTCTGTTTTCTGATCCCCTCTGAAATTAAACTACAAATAAATTAGCCTGCCTCTGTGCTGTGAGTTTTGTATCTTTGGGCAGCAGTGGCTTTCTTGATAGACAGTCACATCTTGCCTCAGCTTGCAAATGGCAGATGCTGTCCTGAAACTCCAGGCAACCGCAGGGATCACACAGGCTTTGCGAAAAACTTGCAAGGAGTCGCTGCCAAAGCTGCAGCAGGGATAACACGGAGCAGAGTACACTGTGTTCCCTCCTCCTGCATCAAGGCCTACATCCCCCAGCCTCTACACTTCCCTGCCAGCTTTGCTTGCACAGGGGAGAATCAAAATACAATCCAGAGCAATAGCGATGTAGATTACAACCGTTAATTGAATCATCCTAATTTTATTTTGTCATTTGCTCACAGTGTTTTCAAAGGCGCCCAGTGAGGACAGCCCTTGGGGCAGCACAGACATGGGGCGAGTTGAACTTCGTGCCAGCTGCTTGCAGAAAGAGTCTCAGACTGTAGCAGAGTGCTGCGATGGAGAAGTGAGAGGAAATCAGCTCTTGGTGCTGAGACTACACAGGATTATTTTTTCTGATTTTTTTTACCTTTTTGGGGGTAGAAATAGATTCAAAAAATTCCAAGACAAAATCTGCTGACTGTATCTGGAGCCACTGACAAAATGAAAAAAGAAAATGGAAAAAAGAAAGCATTGATGCCTAATTCTGACCGCCTCCATCTCACTGAAGTCAACTCTGCTCCCCGGCACTTGCTCTGAAACCCATGCAAAAGGTTTGCCCAGGCCAGGGAAAGCATTCTGGTGCCTTGCAGCTCACTTCCATGGAGAGATAAAATAAAGTGACTTACAACTAGGGGAATAAATAAAAGGAATTTTTACAAAATTGCTTTGTAGAGAATTTAAATGATGTTTTGAAGCCCAGGCAGTGTCAGATGTGAAAAATCAACCTCCCTCTGCTCCAAATACCTCTAAAATCAGGCTGAGATGGAGATTGTTTTTCCTCTCGTCTTTCTCTTCATGTTTCATCTGATCCTGCCAGGAGCAAAGATTGATTTGAAACACAGAGCCAGGCTCAGCGTGCTGCCACCAGGTCTCAAAAAATGACACTTATAAAATTGTCCATAAAGGAAAAAAAAATAAGAGGTTTCTGGAACGGCCTTGATCCAAGAAGCTTAGGATCTATAATTGCTTTTTTCCCTTCCCCCTCTCCAGGAAGAACAAAGGATAAAAAGGGCTTTGAAAAATCCTTGCAAATAGGAGCAGGGAATGATGCTTACAGAGACGTAGGAGATTTCCCTGTCAGTTTTAAAATGCTTCACTTTGTTTAAAACTCAGCCGGCTTGTCCAGCCTTAATCCGGCAGGCAAAGCCTCTGGCCAGGATCCCCACTGTTGTGGCTGCCACCTCGGTGCTCCTGCCCGTCTGCCGAGGGAGGTCTCTCAGCAATGACCAAAAATCGCTTACCAACACTGGAAGCCTGTAATGAGGCTTTTTTTCCACCCCACTGGAATAACTGGAAATTGGAGCCAGGCACCGTGTCGCTGGAGATGCCTGCAGGTACAACGATGGTACAGCAACCGCACAGCAGCAGCTGAATCTGCTCTCCCTTACATGTTTAGGTCCTAAGTTTTGACCTGGAAATTAATTCCTTCCTTTTTCCCAGACTCCATGTCTCTGGGTGTCTGCTCTTGCTATTAAAAAAAATAATAAAAATTGCAATTAGAGCCACAGGGCTTTTTGGGATTGAGATCAGGAACACATCCCCCACGCCTGCAGAGAATGTCTGCTGGCAAGACGACACAGACCTGCCCACCCCACGGTGCCCATTTTGGGGTTGCAAAGGTTTTTCAAGCTTTGCAATGCAACCAGGAGAACTTTCAGGTGCAGGAGTATGGTCTAATGCCACTGAGCTGCCAGGAAGCCATGGGAGAGGTTCGAGCAGCCTGGGGTATGGGAGCATCATAGAATCATTTGGTTGGAAAAGACCTTTAAGATCACTGAGTCCAAGCATAACCTGTCCACTACTAAACCACGTCTCTAAAAGTCCCAGAGAAGTCCCAAAGCTGGCAGAGGAGCAGGCAGTTGGGCTGGATGAGGCTCCTCTGCTTTTGCTGGGTTGATTGAAGCTGATGTTTGGCTGCGTCACTGCCTCGGACATGTTGTCATTTGCCTCTTCAACCCCTCGCCTGGACCCCCTCCTCCATCCCTCCTTGGGGGCTTTGGGGCAAGCTGATCTTGGAGAGGGCTCCAGCCCAGGCATTTTGCTGCAGCTGCTGCCCTGTCGTGGTTTGATTGCAGAGGGCGAATCTGGCTTTTCAGCTTCCAGTGAATTAGAAAAGCTTGAGCTCTTCTACAGGTCAGGGTTGGGTTGGACGGAGCTTTGAGGGTACTGGAACACTGTGTCCAGGTCTGGGCTCCCCAGTTTAAGAAGGACAAGGAACTACTGGAGAGAGTCCAAGTGTAGAGCCAGATATGAGCGGACTGGAGCATCTCCCATATGAGGAAAGGCTGAGAGAGCTGGGTCTGATTAGCCTGGAGAAGAGACTGAGGAGGAATCTCGTTAATGCTTATAAATATCTAAATGGTGGATGTCAGGAGGATGGGACCAGACTCTTCTCAGTTGAGCTCAGTGACAGGACAAGGAGCAGTGGTCACAAACTGGAACACAGGGCGTTCAACTTAAACATAAGGAAAAACTTCTTTACTGTGAAGGTGACAGAGCACTGGACCCGGCTGCCCAGAGAGGCTGTGGAGTCTCCTTCTCTGGAGATGTTCAAACTCACCTGACCGTGTTCCTGTGTGATCTCTGGGTGATCCTGCTCTAGCACAGGGGGTTGGACTGGATGATCTTCACAGGTCCCTTCCAACCCCTACCATCCTGTGATTCTCTGTCCCTGCCCATGGCAGTGGGGATGGACTGGATGATCTCAGAAGGTCCCTTCCAACCAAAAGCACTCTATGAACTAATGCTGCCTGGAGTCCACCTTCCTCCCTCCCAACATCCAGAGCTCTGAGGAGGCTTCCAGCTGCTCCCAGCTTCTGCTCCCTGCCTGCAGAGCACGTTCAGTCACAGCTCATGTGTTCAGAGATCAGAAACATGGCTGTTTCTTGTCACTTGTGGGCAGGAACGCACCCAGGTGCATGGGAGATGCACATCCCTGGGTGCATGGGGACTGCACATGCCCCAGTGCATGGCGATGCACATCTCTAGGTGCATGGGGGTGCATGGGATGTGTGGGACAGGTGACCTGGGAGTGGCTGCACCTGCCCGTGGGCAAAGTGCAGGACAAGGGCTGGGCAGCCCTGCAGAAGGCAGCCATGGAGAGGTACGTCCCTGCCTGGTCCCTGCGGGCAGCACCAGGGGGTATGGGGGGCAGGCAGTGTGGGCAGGGGTGGGCGCAGGCTGGAGCTGTTGGTGTAGGGTGTGGGCAGGTGCTGTGGGTGCCAGCAGATGCAGGCAGGAGCTGTGGGTGCAGGCTGGCACCAGGCAACACAGCTCCTCTTCCATCTCTCTGCCAGACCGGGGGCTGTGCGGCTCTGTACCATCACCATCCTGCTGGGTACTGCCCTTCTCCTGCCCGCACCTTGGGGCACCCAGGTGAGCCCTCCCCTCTGTCTTGTCCTTCCACTGCCCTGCATGATGAGGGGGCATTTGGAGACCCATGTATGATCCATGCCACCCACTCAGTGGACCCCTCTCTTCCTGCAGGCTGTGAGCAATGCCGGGCTCAGGGACCTGGATGCGGAGCAGGATTTGGCCAAGGAAATGTAAGAGGCGGCTGCGCTCCCCGCACCTTCAGACACCCAGATCTGGCTTGTAAAAACCAACAAACACCCCAAAATGTAAAGCATTTGGGGGAGGAATAAATTCCTCCTTGTTGCTTTGCATCCCCACAAAAATTAAGGGGCTCCCAGCTTCATCTACCCTCAAAATCACCCAAATGTGCAAGCATCGAGCCCCGGCTGGTGGTGGTGGGGAGCTGTGGGTGGTGCAGCACTCATACCCCAGACCCATCCAGCTGCTTGTGGGATAAGCAGCTAAATTAGTCTGTTTGCTCCCCGAGATCCTAACTGCACCCTCTTCGGGGTGGGGGTGTGTCTCCAGGGTCCCTGCACCCCACTGGGGTGGGATTTCCTGGCTTATTTTGCTGCCTTTTCTCAGCTTCCTGGGCATACGGGCTGTGGAGCCACCAGAGGAGGGCGAGATCACCGAAGAAGTGGAACCAGGTCTAAAGGTCTTCTCCAACAGCTCCTGGGCTCCATATGACCCACCCCAAGTCCAGGTGGGACCTGAGGAGGACCGTGACCACCTCCACCACCCCCAGGACGATGCCTGGGAGGCTGATGCCCATGGCCCACCACGGATGCTGTCCCTGGAGGTGCAGCGTGGCCCAGAGGAGGACCGTGACCATCTCCACCATGGCTGAGTGAGGGCTGGGAGGCACCTCTGGGGTTCCCTGAGGGGACTCCTCCCTTCCTCCCCACCCGTGATTACCCCCAATAAACCCACTCCCCTCTCCACATCCTGCTGGGCTTCTCATTGCTACCAGGAACCTCTAGGGCTCCCAAAACTGGGCTCACTCCAAGACCTCGGGTAGAGTGAGGGTGATAGGGGACAGGGGGGCTCAGGCCATCACCTCAGCCTCAGTTCAGGTCAGGTAGGGCTGAGGCTGAGCAAACTCAGTGCACCCAAGAAGGCACCGCAGGCCATCCCC